TTACGTTATCTTTGTTTCCCACTTTATTTATTTCTAAACTAGCCAGGTAATCATCGCTGTCACTATCATCATCATCATCAATGTGATTTACTGGGGGTTTGAAACTATGTGTTTCTTTGCTTCGTTTTCTACAAGCTCTCCGAATATGACCGCTCTTCTTACAATAATGGCAAATTGCATTTTTAAAGGGGCAGGATTTATGCTGATGATCACCATGACAACGGTAACACTTGGGGTCTGCAGGGGAAGGAGAGGCGTCCCTTCCTTTCTTGGCTTTCGCATTCCTGTTTTGCTCTTCAGGTTTATTTAACAAATTCACTGAATCTGATTCCTTATTCGTATGGTTTGAATCTCTCCCCCCTTGCATAGTTTCAACGTCCTTACATGATTGTTCAATAGCGATGCATTTAGCAACGGCTGTGTCAAAGGTCAGTTCTTCGAGCTTAAGTTTTAAGAGTTCTGACATCATTTTTCTGTCACGAATACCAGATACTAACCGATCTCTAAGTCGCTCTAAACGCATCGTTTCGTTGAACTTACATTCTGTAGCTAAATGTTTTAAAACAGCTACGTATTCACTCACCGTCTCTCCAGCGTTTCTCGCTCGATTATCAAACTCGTATCTGGCTACTAATGCTGATTTCTGTGGCTTTAACTGTTTCTGAAGTCGCTCGACTATCGCTTCGTACGTGATCGTGTCCTCTTTTAGTAGATGTGGAGCAAATAAATCCTTTGTTAACTGGTAGGTTTCTGCAGGCATATTCGTCAACAGGACAGCTTTCTTTTGTTTAGCATCAGTCACGCTATTTGCTACGAAAAAGAATTCCAGTTGTTCGGCATACGCTTCGAAGTCAGTGCCAACAACAAACTTTCGAACTTTACCGATGTTTCGAATCGGTTCTGGTGCTTCATCTGCCATCTTTCCACAGGATGGCAATAGCTGCTACAATACCTTGCTTTTTCTAACGTGGTAATATTTCTTAATCCCGTCCTCGTCGCCAAAATGTTGTGTATTTGCTTTCTATTAAATAGCTATATTATATTTCGTGTATCACTCAACAAGAAGCACTCATCCCGAACACATGGTGGATGCGCGCGCATCCTAATAACATAGGTAACCCATAACAGTTCAAAAATAACTCTCATACACAGAATTATAATTACCTGTTACATCTTCTTTTTCATTATTTTTCTGCTAATGTTCTGACAGTGCCGATATTTATAAGCGACAAAATACCGTGTTACCTTCAAGCCAAATAAACATTGGCTTTGCGAAGCGAGATTTCTCGCAAGTTAATAAAACTCAACAACAAGGAGGGGGGGTGGGGTTATTAGAGAGGGGTCCTGATTTCAAGATGGCTTACAGTCGTACCAGTAGAAGGGTTCCGAAAAATGTTGACCAATTCATTTCCTAACTTGAAGGAACATCTCTGAATTTCCTAACTTCCTGCTTCAATGACCAATCAAATTTTATATTTTATTTTTGAGCAATCTGATTGGTCAATGAAACAAGAAATAGGAACATTTGAAGGAACTTATCAAACAGTTGAAGAATTGTTCAGAGGTGTTCCTTCAAGTTAGAAAATGAATTGGTCAACATTTTTCAGAACGCCGTATTGGCACGACTGTAATCACAGTTAATAGAATACATGGTTTGGAGACTCGGTGAAAGTACATTGTAACTCGAGCTCATTAACTATGTTGGTTTCAGTTTATGCAAGAAATTGGGTCCATCTCGTCACGTGTGTATTGTATTTTTCCACGCAAAACCAATAGCAATGTTTAAATTGAGCATTTGTTCAAGTTACGGATGGATAACTCAACCACAAACTTGTTATTGGTTTGTTCGGACCAGTGCTCTCACAATCAAGTTTTCGAATTCCTTAGAAAAAGCTCGAAAATTCCTCAGATTTCCTTAAAATTCCTTAAATTGGTAAAATTACCACAAGGCCTGATCACACAGTTGCAAAAAGTGTTTTTTCTTCCTTTTTTTCTGTTTTTCAGTTTTTATAACCTTGTTTCTAAGCACTAAAAATTGAAAACATTTGATTGTTAGCATAATGCCATAAAGAAAACATTCAACATGATGTATTTTTGATCGTTGCTGCATGAAGAGCTTAGAAAATCTGAAGATTTCAGAAGAAACAGCCTATACTGACATTTAACTTTTGAGAATTTGAATGAAAAGACCAGTGGCGGACACTTCATGAAAAATTGGGGGAGGAAGGGGGGGGGGGCTCGTGCCGAAGGCACGGGAAAATTTTAAAATTTGAATCTCGGAAATGGCATTTGCATCGTTCTGAGAACACATTTTGTAAAAAACTAGGGTTTTAAAACACTGTTTTAATGGTGCGTTTTGTTATAAATCACATGCCAAGCCATGTACGGAAACATATACTATTATATCATGATGACAATTACGTTATATTTTTAATTTTTTTTTAATTTATTAACTTTGCCAGATAGTATTAACAGTTATTACAAAGTAATAATTTAACGAATTAACTAGACTATATGGCAGGGTATTCGCAACAGCGATTAGCCAATTACTGCGAACCCAAGGACAATACGTTAACATCAAATAGCAAAAAAACTAACAACTAACTTCATGCATTTATACAACTATATATTTAGCTAGCTACGGCAACTGATCATGCTATGATAATAACATGCACTAGCTGAAAAGAAATTGAACAAATCAATGCATGCTACCGACTATATAAGCGTAGCACGAGCAGTTGCCATGTTGAGCTAGCTGTGCTGAAATTTTCAATAACAGCAAGATATTGGAGACGCTAAACTACGAACACAGTTGCATTTCAAGCATAAAGATCTAAACGTTCGCGGATTTTCAGGATTATAAGTAATGTCAACAGAGGTAAAATAATAATTGAGTAAACATGATTTAAATACAGCGAGACTGTCCGTATGAAAGTCTATTGCGTCTATTAGTGTGTTTCATATTCTGGAAGTTCTAATGAGGAAGGATTTCTGGTAGCTGGTTGTTTTACATCTGGGGATGACATACTCAAGTATGTACTGTGTTGCTTGAATTTGAGCGAGTGGTTCTGCGAGAATTCTGAATAACTGGAGAGGCGCTTGTTTTCATTAAACCATGTGTGATCTTAAGGAATAGAATCAAATCAAGGTATTCGTGCCAGTAGCATATTGGGAGGAGATGCAACGACTGCAGTCTTGATTTATAGTCTATATCCGAGGAGAACGGTACATTTAGAATATATTTGGTAGCACGTCGTTGGGTTCGTTCAAGATGGTTGATAAGTTCTATTGATTGTGGTGCCCAGATTTGTGTTGCATAACCAAAATGTGACCGAACTAGGGCCAGGTAGAACATCCGTCTTGCTTCAGTACTTTTCACGAATCTGGTGTTTCTTTTGATGTAGCCAAGGGACTTGTTCGCTTTTGACGTCTGGTTGCACACTTGTATTGCACACTTGTATATGAGTGTGATTTGTGTTATTTGGTACACGATTTTTGCAGTCTTATTGGGGGGCTCAGGCCCCCCAGTGTCCGCCACTGGAAAAGACAGCCATATGTACATTTATGACATAGAGAACATACGAATATATGTAATTATGTGCGTATAATGTTGCTACTTTCAAGTTTAAATCACATTTACGTGGCATGGTTATCCTCCGTCCAACGTTTTTAGTCCAGGATAAAATGTTTCGGAAATTCCTTAAAAAAATTCTCAAAAACCTAAATTCCTTAAAAAAATCCTTAAAACTCTTCACAATTCCTATTTTTAAGGATAATTCCTTAAAAGTGAGAGCACTGGTTCGGACCCAAACCTCTCGGACAAGTCGGGTAATTAAGCCGCGCGGGAGACTGGACTTATAAACCTAAAAGTTAGCCTGTTTCCTGCCCGTATTGCGGGCTAACACGTTGTTGGTGAATTTTTGCATTTCTCGTATTTTTTGTATTTCTCGTATTGCTCGTAATTCTTGTATTTCTCATTGTATTTCTCGCATTTCAAGATCGAGCATAATAAAGTTGTGTTAAATCAAACAGGTTATCTGAGCGAAAATACAATACACACGTGACGAGATAGGACCAAATTCTTGCATAAAGCTGGACAATATAAACATAGTTAATGTACTTTCATCGAGTCTCCACCAAACCATGTATTAAAATAACATGGCTGTAATAGGGCGAATACAGTAACTTTACAAAATATAATATTGCCATGATAAAATGAAGTAATATCACTATAAATATTTCAACAACATTTCATTACACAATAAGTATAAATAATACAAACTTAATAAATATCCAACCAAAAACAACACATAATTACAAAAATGATCTCAGTTTATAAATGGATCCCTCAATCAACACATGAATGATCACCAAAATTTCAATGTCATTGTCAGTACGGAACAGTTTATACTATATTTAAAAAAATACAAACAAACAATTAAAAACAATGTATTACCCAAATTTGTTTCAATTTATGTTGCCCAACTAGTAGGGCTGCGGCATGGCAGTACATTGTCATGCATACTCATATGATCTTCAAGTTCCGTGGCAATTTCAAACTCAGCATCGCAGACACAACAGATATAACAAATACCAGTTGCTTCTTTTGCTTCTAATTCCTTACACACATCACATTGGTAGGCGTACCATGGTCTTTGGCCTTGTGGTGATTTAGACTTTGAAAATTAGGTAACTGTTTGCTGCATTTGTCGCAGACAAAATGATCATCACCCATTATCTCATTAGCATGTCCTTATCCTTGAATAATTTCCCTGCCACAACTGTTGCAGAATAATAAGCCTTCTCTTGAATGTACTACTAGGTAACATTTGAGACTTTTACGTTGTGTGAAAGTTTTCTTGCAGTTATCATACTCAAAACTCAGACTTCCCTTGTGTGCTGACATTTTATGTTGTGTTAACTTGTGCAATTCTGAAAATCTCTTGTTGCAAACGTGACATTCATAAGCTCTGTCTCCGGTATGTGTTTTTTTATGGGAAGTCAAGCCGCCCGATTGTGAAAATCGCTTGTTACAAACATCACATTCATAAGGTTTGTCTCCTGTATGCGCTTTTTTATGTATAACTAAGACATATATATGGCCACGAGAATCGTTTGTTGGAAACATCGCATTCATAAGGTTTTTCTCCAGTGTGTGTTCTTTTATGAACCGGTAAGTAGCTTGACTGCGAAAAGCTTTTGTTGCAAACATCACATTCATAAGGTTTGTCTCCAGTGTGTGTTTTCTTATGTACAGTCAAGGCATGTGACCGGGAAAATCTCTTCTTGCAAACATCACATTCATAAGGTTTGTCTTTAGTGTGTGTTCTCTTATAAACCGCTAAGTGGCTTGACCACGAAAATCTCTTCTTGCAAACATCACATTCATAAGGTTTATCACATTCATAGAGTTTGTCTCCAGTATGTGTTCCTTTATGACTATCTAACCTGTCTGACAGCGCAAATCTTTTATGGCAAACATCACATTCATAAGGTTTGTGTCCAGTATGTGTTCTTTCATGTCTAGCTAAGTCGCCTGACTGTGAAAATCTTTTGTTGCAAACATCGCATTCATAAGATTTGTCTTCTGTATGTGTTCTCTTATGTACAGTTAAGACATGTGACCGGCAAAATTGTTTGTTGCAAACATCACATTCATGAGGTTTGTTTTCAGTGTGTGTTCTTTTATGTTTTAGCAAAGAGCTTCTCTGTGAAATTATCTTGTTGCACAAGTCGCATTTGCTAGACATGGTTTCAGCCTTTCAGCTCTTTCCCCGTACGGTCAAATTTCGATCAAAAATATCACCCAACTGTTCCCTCGAGTCTTTCTTTATTGAATCTGTACAATACCTCGGTTCTTACAGAATTTCTGATCATAAAAACGAGAATATTCAGAGATACAGGTTGCAGACAACACGACTATCAAAATAAAGCGCCCAAAAAGATTCATGTGGTGACATGGTGTTTCCACTTTACATAGTTTACACACACATATATATATATATATATATATATATATATATATATATATATATATATATATTACTCTACTGTACTGTTTACCAGTAGTATTGAGCTCTCTTTTTAGTCTTTCAACGAAAAACAACCCGTTTAGATATATATATATATATATATATATATATATATATATATATATATATATATATATATATATATATATATATATATATATATATATATATATATATATATATATATATATATATATACAGGGTGTATCATAAAAAACGGAGTCCTCGCTTCAAATATAAATTTCGAAACGAATATTAAAGCAAAATGTTCAAGTTTACATTTATTTTAAAGCGTAGACATTCAGCTTTTCAACGGCGGGTTGTTTCGTAAATATAATCCAGAAGTTCGTGAATAATAATATTTTAAGTGATTGCGATTGGAGAGTCAAAAATTTGAGATGCAATAACAAACCGGTACTTGATGAAAATAACTTATTTTGGCAACAAAACGAGCAAATTGAGGCATTTTGGCAATTGCTTGTGAAAATCAAGTAATAATGGCTTCCAATACACTATTTTAAATTCACTTGCTTACTTCAAATGCGTTATAATACAGGCTGAAGCGTGTTTTAGCTTGCTGTCAACTTGCTAATTTATATTTACATTACGGCCCGATTCGATGGTGCTCGTTCGGACGATGCATGGACGTAAGCTTGTTTTGATGATTTCTGGAAATAGTATAGGATTTTGAAATAATTAAAACTACTTAATCACTTTTAGAATCATGTTTCGCTCGCTACTCTGGTTTAAATAAATGATTACAAAGCCCAGTCGAATTGTAATCAGGACCCAACGTTTCGACACTCCAGTCTAGTGTCTTCATCAGGGGTGATCTGAAACTGCGATCGTGGCTTCTTAAATACCCAAGGGATGACGTCACCTGCCAGGAAGATGCATATATTCTTCTGGCAAATAGGCGCCGTCATCCCTATTCAAAGCATGATGACTCATATTTATATGCCACGCTTCTAGGCAAAGTCTTTGACCGTAACGATTGTTTGTGGTAATTACTTTAGAGTTTTCCCACGCAATCTCGTGTTTGGTGTAACATACATGTTCGGCTAAAGCTGATTTCCCCTTGTCTAAAGTTGAAACAGCCTTTTGATGTTCTTTTAGCCGTGTACCAAACTGGCGTTTAGACTGACCCAAATAATGACAGGAATTTTTGACAGTGTTTTCGGTATTTCCCACCACAGGGGACAAAATTTTCGCCAAAAAACTTGAAACTCCATATGTAGGAGAATTCACAAAGGACACAATAGGTCTCAATGGAATTTCCGGTTTATGGATTTTCGGTAAACCATAGAAACGCGGAGATAGTCCATCACTGCTGTATAACTTTTCATATGTAGCCTTGCTGATAATATTAGATTTCTTCAAAAGAAGTAACTTGGCGTTTAAACCTCTTTGAGTCTTTCCAGTAGGATCAGACTTGAGAATAGAATACGTATTTCTGTCATTCAACAGTGAAAGAGCCTTCTCGCGATAATCATGTTTGTCCATAACAACAACGCAATTGCCTTTGTCCGCTGAAAGTATAACCATGTCCGGATCTTTTTTAAGAGCAAGTAAAGCTTTGAAAACATTCGAATCAATGTTTTTTGGAGGTATTTTGGCACGTCTAAGAATGCTACTGACCTCAGCTCTTACCAATCGCTTAGCATCATCGTCTAGTGGAAAAATTCCTTCTTCCACTGAAGCAATGATTTCGGCTGTTGGAATTCCTTCTTCCACTGAAGCAATGATTTCGGCTGTTGAAAACCTCTCATCTAAAGAGCTAAGTGAGTTGGAAAGGAAGGGTCTTGAACACGGCGTAAAATTTGCGGTTGTACCTAACAGAATTCCAACAGCCGAAATCATTGCTTCAGTGGAAGAAGGAATTTTTCCACTAGACGATGATGCTAAGCGATTGGTAAGAGCTGAGGTCAGTAGCATTCTTAGACGTGCCAAAATACCTCCAAAAAACATTGATTCGAATGTTTTCAAAGCTTTACTTGCTCTTAAAAAAGATCCGGACAGGGTTATACTTTCAGCGGACAAAGGCAATTGCGTTGTTGTTATGGACAAACATGATTATCGCGAGAAGGCTCTTTCACTGTTGAATGACAGAAATACGTATTCTATTCTCAAGTCTGATCCTACTGGAAAGACTCAAAGAGGTTTAAACGCCAAGTTACTTCTTTTGAAGAAATCCAATATTATCAGCAAGACTACATATGAAAAGTTATACAGCAGTGATGGACTATCTCCGCGTTTCTATGGTTTACCGAAAATCCATAAACCGGAAATTCCATTGAGACCTATTGTGTCCTTTGTGAATTCTCCTACATATGGAGTTTCAAGTTTTTTGGCGAAAATTTTGTCCCCTGTGGTGGGAAATACCGAAAACACTGTCAAAAATTCCTGTCATTATTTGGGTCAGTCTAAACGCCAGTTTGGTACACGGCTAAAAGAACATCAAAAGGCTGTTTCAACTTTAGACAAGGGGAAATCAGCTTTAGCCGAACATGTATGTTACACCAAACACGAGATTGCGTGGGAAAACTCTAAAGTAATTACCACAAACAATCGTTACGGTCAAAGACTTTGCCTAGAAGCGTGGCATATAAATATGAGTCATCGTGCTTTGAATAGGGATGACGGCGCCTATTTGCCAGAAGAATATATGCATCTTCTTGGCTGGTGACGTCATCCCTTGGGTATTTAAGAAGCCACGATCGCAGTTTCAGATCACCCCTGATGAAGACACTAGACTGGAGTGTCGAAACGTTGGGTCTTGATTACAATTCGACTGGGCTTTGTAATCATTTATTTAAACCAGAGTAGCGAGCGAAACATGATTGATATACCTGGTTGCAGTGAACGAACAAACTTTACACTTTTAGAATGTCTTTAACAAGTTCTTACTAGTTTTTCCGATGTGGCAACAAGAACATTAAAGTTTGAACAAAAAAATTCAAACATTGCAACCGACTATGGAATAACACAGTAAATTTGTATAATTATAAAGCGCCATCTAAACATGATAGGTTTTACTAAATTTTCTTCTGTGCATTTATTACTTGCACTAAAGACACGGATGACCATTTGGTCGATGCTTTAAAATAAGCCTAAAACCGTTTTATTAGAAGTAGCAGTCCGAAAGTTATTAAGCACAAAAGTTGGACTCCGTTTTTTTTATATACACCCTGTATATATATATATATATATATATATATATATATATATATATATATATATATATATATATATATATATATATATATAT